ACTCTAGTTGATGAGATGTTGTATTTGTGAGACAGTGTTATGATAGAAAGGCTTGAGTGTTATTGTGTAGATAGCTCAGTCCTAGTTTGCATGTTCGTTTAGGAATGAACAATTACTCCACGGTGTAGCGTAGCCCGTGGGCCTGCCACAGCGCCTCTCATTAGGAAACTCCGACTCCCGACTTTCACAGCCACCTGTCTGGTTCAAGAACTATCAGCTCGACGCAAAGACGTGTGAAGCCTCTGCAGCAGATGTGCAATATACGAGCCTTAGTCCCGGGCACAAGCAACTGGCATCTCTCCTGCGACTGAGGGACTACAAGTCCCGGCCTGCTGGACATTGTGGTCCCCCCGTCACCAAGGAGAGACCGGTCTGTCCACGCCTGCATCAGTCTATCTTGTAGCTGTAAATGTTTTTAGTTACCGTAATTGGAGACTCTGGTATATTTATTAAGTGGTGTTTTAGTGTACATTTCGGCACCCCCACCCTCCACCCACAATGACACGATTACCTCAGCTTAGCACTGGAATTTCCGATAAGCCTGGCTTTCTAGAACACTAAACCTCAGAATACTCTACAGACCAGTCCGCTAATGTCCCCCATATCTTCAATGATTTTCAGTAATACTATAACGCCCCTCACTCATTCATTTCACAATGCCGTTCTGAAGTCTCGGGTGGGCTGCCAGCTTGGCACGCTGTCTTTGTATAAGGGAAGTGTGGCGAGTCTTGGGTGGGCTCCAAAGCATGCTGGGACTTTTTTGCCATGGGCTGCCAGCGTGGCACACTGTCTTTGTATAAGGGAAGTGTGGCGAGTCTTGGGTGGGCTTCAAAGCATGCTGGGACTTTTTTGCCGTGGGCTGCCAGCTTGGCACACTGTCTTTGTATAAGGGAAGTGTGGCGAGTCTCGGGTGGGCTTCAAAGCATGCTGGGACTTGTGTGCCGGGGGCTGCCAGCTTGGCACACTGTCTTTGTATAAGGGAAGTGTGGCGTGTTTTTGATCACGGATGTGTACTCTGGGCAGGTTTGCTGCCTTGCGTGTGATACTCCAAACATGAAGCTTATAATTCTGTATAATACTTTGTTTTTACCAATTTTACATGAATAGGTCGTTGGATTGGCTCTTCAAATGTAGTTTGTGAAAGTTTAAATGGACCAGTAAACTTAGAGACGCTGTCACCTTTCCTAATCAGGACATAGTGACAGTGTCTGTAGAGCCATCCCACCCGGACGTGTGTACTTACCCAGCATCCCAGCCTGGTCTCAGCTGCTGCCGGTGTTTCGACAGGGGGCATTATGTCACGGGCCCGTATTTGAGTTACAGCTCATATAGAACAAGTATCTTGTTGCACTCCTTACCGGACAGAAAAACCTGATATGCAGGCGGGTGCTTGCAGTGACCGCGGACGGCACCGTGAATAAACTGAATCTGTAAAGATGTCGCCAGCAAACCAATGATTCCATGAGCTAAGCAAAAAGTCCTTTTATTGAAGGGACATTTCAAGAACTAGCGTTTTCGGGGGCCGCGCAGGGTCCCCTTCATCAGGCTCGGAACTGGGCCTGTGCCCCATTGAAGGGAATGGACTGTTTGCTTATCTCATTGAATCATTGGTGTGCGTTGCAGCTCAGACCCAAGCTCTATAACACGGTGGAGGTCACATGCTTCCTAATACCTAGAACGTTTATCCGTCAGGTCAAATCTCTGCCCCCTCACCTCCTGCCACATTCACAAGTCACACAGTCCAGGCTCTGTTTCGCGAACGGGTGGAAATGTGACCGTAGCGTTGATCGGTGGTCTACGAGACCTGCAGCACCTCTGGGTGGTCATGGAAGCACAGCTCCTTCCACTCCCTTCTGCAGCTCTAGAATAAAGCCCTCAGGACGAGAGCTTTGTATTCTGCCAACGGAATTTATATCTGCTGTGATGCTGGTTGTGTCCGGAGTTGGGCTTTAAAAGCATGTGGTGGAGGGATTGAGATCTTAGGCGGTCTTACGTTCTGTATATGTGTGTTGCTGTGCATTGCCATTCATTGTCCGCGGCACCTAAAGAACATCTGCAGTACACTGCAACAAACCTGCGTTATGGTGCGCCGTATGGCACAGATGCTAACGCTCCGTGGATTGCATTTCGGAAAAAGGAGTAGAACCTTTTTTTATTTTTTTGTGTGCGTTGCCGGCTTATTCAAAATCATTGGCTAGAACCGCACGCATCAACTGCTTGTGTTGCAGCGCACCAGCTTGTGGTGTGAATGGTCCTAAATCTGCCCCATCTATTCAGTCCACATAGTCCGGCGCCAGTTTATTACGCGCTCTGAGTTACGTACATTCGTCTACGTCTGTATCCAGTCTTTTTCAGGATTTAAGAAGACTGCTCTGTTCCAGCATTTTGTACATGGAGCAGCATTGTACATCGGATGTGTTTCATGCAAATACCGTATAGTGTCGTCACGTAGTATTGCACTGTGGCTGCGGCCATTACTTGCTTGACCTCTGATTGGCTCTCCAAGAAGCGGCGCGGTCTGTCTGATGCGGTGCTGACGTTGGAAGGACCCGATGCAAAGTAGTAGCAATAACTTGCCTCCCGCAAGCGGGGAGGAGCTCTTTACTTGACCAATAGACCTGCTCCTCCGCCCCCGGATGCACAATATTGACATAGGTGTTTGTAATGGTACTTTGCACTTGTTACCCTTTTTTTTTCCTTTCCCCGCTAACGGTACTTAAGGTTGTTCGGAGAGATTAGGTTTAAGCAATACATTTTGTTGTGTGTGCATGTGCAAAAAAAAAACACAAAAAATATATATGTTGGATTTGTTGTGTCTCTCTTGAAGGGACTAGGAGGGTGTCAGTGAAGTGTTGTGTGCACTTATTTTCTAGCTGTTTTAAGGGAAATTAACGAGTATTTGATTTACTATGGGTCAGTATTGTATCACTTTGCTGCAAGCAATTTTCAACCTGACGTTCACATTTTTATAGTCTTTGCTGATCCATATTTTGTTCATTGTTATTTGTACTCAAGTGCTCCCTCTTGTGGTCCCCTCTATATCAGAGAATGTGATAAACGCCCATAGTGAAAGGGAAACTGTACCCTCCCCAGGCAAATTTACATTTCCTCTATCAAAGCATTGCCCTTGTATGGAGTCCAACGTTGTCTACCTTGTAGCCAAAGTTTACCTTGCGCTGCTCTGCTCCTGCGCCACCATCTTAACACTCCATCATCTAGTCTGTGTCATGAGAGTCCCCACATCCACAGAGACAGAGTAGGAGGTCTTCAAGTGCTTTGGACCTGGCCGTGTCTGCACATGCGTAGGAGGATTCCGTGCGTGCGCGCAGACAAGCCCCAAGTCTTGGCCAGATCAAAAGCACTTGAAGACCTGCGGCGTGTCTGCACATGCGTGGAAGGATTCCGTGCGTGCGCAGACAAGCCGCAAATCTTGGCCAGGTCAAAATATTAGGAACAGACCACAGCAATGTCTGCACACGGGCGGAATCTTGCTTTACCCTCCCCAGGCAAATTTACATTTCCTCTATCAAATAATTGCCCTTGTATGGAGTCCAGCGTTGTCTACCTTGTAGCCAAAGTTTACCTTGCGCTGCTCTGCTCCTGCGCCACCATTTGATACTCCTCATCCTGGAAACCTTCTGGTATATATCATGAGAGTCCCCACATCCCCAGACACGCCGCAGGAGGTCTTTAAGTGTTTATGACCTGGCCGAGACCTGCGGAGTGTCTGCACATGCATGGGAGGATTCCGTGCGCGCGCAAACTAGCCACAAGTCTTGGCCAGGTCAAAAGCACTTGAAGACCTGCGGCATGTCTGCACATGCGTGTAAGGATTCTGTGCATGCACGCAGACAAAAGCCGCAAGTCTTGGCCAGATCAAAAGTACTTGAAGACCTGCGGCGTGTCTGCACATGCGTGGAAGGATTCCGTGCGTGCGCAGACAAGCCGCAAGTCTTGACATGTCGAAATATTAGGAACAGACCACAGCAATGTCTGCACACGAGCGGAATCTTACAGTGCACGTGCAAGCCCTTCATTACCCTCAATTAGGTGAGAAATCAAGAGCTGGTGGGTCACATCACTAAAAAAAGAGATTTACTCCAA